CCAAATCATATATATGAAAAGGGACTAATAGCCAAAATATATAAAATACTCTTACAACTCAACAATAAAAAGACAACCCAGTTTTAAAATGGGCATAGGATTTGAACAGACATTTCTCCAAAGAAGATGTACAAATGGCCACTAACATGGAAAGTTGCTTAACATCATTATTCCTTAGTAAAATGCAAATCAAAACGACGATGAGATACAATTTCTCATCCACTCAGGTAACCAAAATAAAAAAAGACAGACAATAACAAGTGTTGGCGAGGATGTGGGAAAATAATGCTCATATGTTGCTGGTGGGAATGTAAAATGGTATGCCACAGTTTGGCAGTTCCTCAAAATGTTAAACACAGAGGTACCATATGACCCAGCAGTTAGACTCCTATGTATATACCCAAGGGAACTGAAAGCATATTTCTACACAAAAATTTGAACATAAATTGTTCACAAAACCATTATTCATAAGAGCTAAAAACTGTTTAAACGTCACCCATCAACTCAAATGTCCTAATAAATGAAATGTGCCATATCCATAAAATGGAATGTTATTCAACCACAAAAAGGAATGAAGTACTGATACCTGCTACAACATGGATACAACTTGAAGACATGCTAAGTGAAATAAGCCAGTCACAAAAGGACAAAAAATGTATGATTCCACTTATATGAGGTTCCTAGAATAGTCAAATTCATAGGGACAAAAGTAGTTGTGAGGGGCTGGGGGGAAGGAAGAATGGGGAGTTATTGTTTAGTGGGTACAGAATTTTAGTTTGGGAAGATGGGAAAGAGGGATATGGATGGTGGTGGTTGCACAACAATGTGTGTGCACTTGATGCCACTGAACTATACACTTAAACATGGTCAAAGTGCTAAATTTTGTGCTTAGGTATATTTTAGCACAAAATTAAGTAGCAAAAAACAAAACCAAAATCACCAGCAACAATCAAAAAAGAAAAAAAGAACAATATGCCAAAACACACAAAAGAAAGCACTAAGGAAAGAAAGAGAAAATTTTGATGTAACAGGTCACACTACTCTACCCCCAGCCCTTTGAGGTCATAATAAGAGAAGGAAGCTAAATCGACAAAATCCTGAGGACTCTCAGTAGTATGCTCTTAACAAGAGAGAAGTTGGCAATGGATAAGATGGTACTCAAAGGAAAAGAAATCAAGCCCTCTTGAGTGTAGCCAGGTCTATCACCTTCCAAGGCACTGTACTGAGAGAACAGGTTCAAGTGCTACCTTGAGGAGGGGAAGCAAACAGGTCTCAAGAATAATCCATCTACAATACATTAGAGCAAATAGAAGGTCTGACCAGTGCTGCACACACTGTAATGATGAACTAGAGAAAAAGAAAGGAAGAGCAGGGATAGAAAGAAGACATGAAGAAGGAAAATGGGTAAAGAGGTAGGTGGCAGAATAGCAGAGGGGAAGGGGAAAGAAAAGGCAAAGAAGGTGCTAATAGCATAAAAATATATAAAGAATCCAGTGGAGACAAAGCCTATCCCAAGAGGAGGTAAATTTTCCCCCATATTTTGCATCAAAGGACCTTAATAAATTAATAGATTCAATAAAACAAGACCTCAAAGACCTAATAATTGAATAACAAAATGACAACGCAGATCATAGAGATACAGACGTAAATGGAGAACCATGTTCTTTTATCATTCTAGGCTCCAAGACTGATTAACAAAATTCAACCAAATTGGAAAAGACTGGGCACCTGTCAAGAAGGTCAATCAATATGAGCAGTTTCTTTTACTGCACAAATAAATTGAGAGAAGCTATATAGCCTTGATCAATGAAATCACAAAATTAAAGTAGACGGAGAGCCATATATCATTTATACAACGCCACCTCTTACAAGTCATGTGATTTTAGTTGCATCAATTTAATTTGTAAAAGTAGGCTAATATTAGCAATGTCCACAATAGCCAAACTATGGAAAGAGCCAAGATGTCCATCAACAGATGAATGGATAAAGAAGATGTGAGATAGATATATATATACACACACACACACACACACACACACACACACACACACACAATGGAATATTATGCAGCCATCAAAAGGAATGAGATCTTGCCATTTGCAACGACGTGGATGGAACTGGAGGGTATTATGCTGAGC